TATATAATGTTTAGGTGTTGCAACCACACCTTGATCTTGAACACCTTGTGTATAGAAAAATGCATTTTCACCTGAAAGATATGGATCAGAACCAAATCCTTCCCAATTACGACCATGTCGAGCATTTCGATCCATATTTATCATAGGACCAAAAGCATAATGAATGCCTTTGCCACGAAATTCTTTTCCAATTGCAACAGCACGTCGATAAAACAAATCTCGATCCCATGTCGCTGCAATATGAATACCACTTACAAATGCAGTTGAATATAAAACACCATCACCAACACCTGATGGTGTATCTAGAAGGCAGAAGCCACTGAAATTGACACGTGGCAACGATGCAATATTACCAGCACATGTCCCGCCAACACCTGCTGTTAAATGGCATTTTTCTTGTAATGTCAATTGAGCAATAAATGATTTTGCCATAGCAATAGCTTGTTCCCATGTTCTAAGTGTAACTTGAGGTTGAATATTCGCTTTAGAATTATCTATGGATGATTCCGTAGGCGAAAAACAAAGAGCAACGTAAATCAACAACAACGGAATTGTTAACATTTTAATGACAATAATTCAAATGTTGTTCTTGCTGTACGTGAAAGTATGTCTGGGTAAGCAAGAATCTTATCTCTTATCATCAGTTTCAAACTTACACCTGTTTTTTTCAAATGAGAATTGAGCGATAAGTCATACCTTATATCTTGCACACTTTTATGTAATACATCGGTGTGAGTAGCCGAGCTGATACTTCAATAGATATATTTTCAGAATGAATTCAATTATTATTACATGACACATACATATACAATCAAATCTCTCTTTATAATGAACATCATCGATTTTTATAGAAAGTAACTCCTAGAAATAAATGAATACTTTTGTTATTTTTACTCTTTACATACGAATGAGAAAAGTACATATTATGAGGTAAATTACAAAGAGATATGTAAATGCATTCATCCATATAATGACTCATGACGTATACGTGCGATCGAGAATGTCCTTTTATAAGAAAGAAAAATATTGGTTTTACTACGTAACTTAAAATAATTAATATTGTTTAAATCAGTTTTTATTCTTCCAACAAGATTTCTTTCAATAATAATTCAATATATCTGATTATAAACGAAACAAAGATGTTATAATACAAAATACAACATTTCGAAATAGTTATTTTCAAATAATTTTACTTTTCTTTTTGCTTCTTTTTTTATTCCTATTATCTCTTCGATATATTTTGTTTTGTCGTATACGCCCATATATTTAACTATAAATATCATTAATTATATACATTCGTACGTTCGATCAACGAAAAATATTTACACTTATCGACATTTTTATTTAAATACAGTAGGTAACGTTTTTTTTCTAACGATTATATGGTACAAATGATCTTAGTATTATCCAAAGAGATGGAAATGCAAATTTCTATAAACAATTAACTTTATTAACTGGAGGGTGTGCTAGTAATAACCAAATCCACACTCAACTTTTTTCAATAAGATACAAAATATTTATCTTACAAATTTAATTCGTCTTATGGGTATGTTATGGAGCACCATCTACTGTTTCTCAATAGTTCTTCTTTCAATCCATACTATATCTTGATTAATATTACATTCGTTCTATATATTATGCGATCTATTTTTGATTATAACTTGATCGTAGTTGCTACTGACAGAGTAATTAGTTAGTTAGGTTCTGTACCTTCTATCTCTTCATTATCTAATTATGATTTGCATAAAATCCAACCCATCGAGGATTTTCTTAAATCTTTTTTTTTTAATTTAAAATTCGACTATAGATGTTTAGAATACATGGAATACTGCTTTTTATAATAAAAAATTTTACAGCGTTATATTTTTTTTCTATTCTGATTGCGTTACACCATGTGTTAGTCTTATCGAATGTTTGTTTTTCTTCTCTATTCTTCGCCATTAAAAAATGTCGATGTCGTGTATGGCTTTTTATTCTTTGTTTCTAGATATTTAAATATATTTGAACTACCGTTGAAAATTAGATAAAAAAATAATGTCAACATCGCCAATTGAATTTAAATTATTTGCTCCAAATAATAAACAAGTTGAATTGTTGATTGCTCATACCCAAGATCGCCAATCACGTCAACGAATTCCTATGGTAAAAGATGATCAAACTGGTTATTTCCATTGTCAAGTATCCAATCTTCAAGATGGCGATTATGAATATCGATTTCATCTACAAACTTGTTCACCAGATCATAAGCCAGACGAATGGCTAGATGTTATTGATCCATGTGTTACTCAATACGATGCAATCAATGATGAAGGTATAGTAACAGTGAAACAAGGACGAAGGCTTATATCTGGTTGTGATGATTATCAATGGCGAAATGATCATATTAAACTACCGGAAAATAAAGATATAATTATCTACGAATTGTATATATCTGATTTCACAGACGAAGGCACGTTGAATGCCATTATTGATACGGGTAAATTGGATTATCTAAGTCAAGAACTAGGAATCAATGCTATTGAACTCATGCCTATTCAAGGTACGATGATATATTTGCAGGGATCTAATAATATTATTATTTGTTGTTATTTTTTTTAATCACAGAATCAATGGGTATGGCACACGATTGGGGTTACTCAACACGACATTACTTTGCTCTGAAACATTCTTATGGATCACCTCAAGATCTAAAGCGATTTGATGACGAGTGTCATGGACGTGGAATTCGTGTGATTTTAGATGGTGTTTATACATTTTCAAACAATGATTGTCCATTGTTACAAATAGATAAAAGCTATTGGGTAAGAATATAAGATTACTTTTTAATTCTTACTAATATGTTTCAAGTGAAATTAAATGTTTATTCACTAGAATAACTCTTTGTTTTATTTTTAGTATTATGCTGATCGTCACCATCCAGATGGTGAGTTCCAGGAGATTTTTAATCATGTTTATTTTCATTTAAATATTCGTTTTTATATTTCGTACTTAAAGATCCAAATTACTGGGGACCCGAATTTAACTATGAATATTACGATGATCAATTGAAAATCAAACCTGCTTGTGACTATATCAGTGCTGTAGCGAATTATTGGTTGGCAGAATATCATTTGGATGCAATCAGATTTGATTCAGGTGCATAATTTCATTTAAAATTTGACACTTAATATAATTTCATTTTTCTTTTTTAGTTAAAGAGTTGGACAATTTTGATATTCTACGTCGATTAGTCTCTGAATGTACAGAAAAACGAGCACCACAACCGTTTCTTACTATTGCCGAATATATACCTGATACTTCTAAAATTGTCAAATGTGGTGATGGTCCATTGGATTCTTGTTGGTCCACTGCTTTTCATATGGATATCATTTCAAATTTAATGAATGATACAGAATTTAGTTTTGACAAAATCAAACGTTGTTTAGATATTCGTCAGCAAGGCTATTCGTCACCTCTGGCACTAGTGAACTACATTTCAAGTCATGATAATCAGCATATGTTATTTCAACTACAACAACATCACATTATGAATGATGATGCTTTTGAACGGCTTGAATTGGCAGCTATATTATTGATGACAGCAATGGGCATACCAATGATATGGATGGGAACGGAACTGGGAGAAGCCAGAGAATCAACAAGTAAGATAATGATAGATTCCAATTCTAATTCTTTTCTATCTATCTCTACTCATTGACTAGGTGATCAGCATCAGAAAGATAGGAAAACTAATTGGCAAGTATTAGATGCACCTGTATCTCCTTATCGTACTTTACTGAACACTTTTAAACAAGTCATTAAACTTCGACGTCAACTTACAGCATTACGTAGTGATAATCTGGAATTTTTCTTCGAACATTATGATGACCGAGTTCTGGCGTACAGTAGACGATCGAACGATAACGATTTAGTTCTAGTTATTGCTCACTTCTCACCCAATAACAGAGATGGATATATTGTGAAAAATATTCCTGCTAAAGAAGGTACCCAATTCGTTAATGGAATGGATGAAAACGAAGTTTTCCGTATTGAAAATGGAACAAATGAACTGAAAATGAATTTGAAACCATTTGAAGGCAAAATATTGATACAGAAATAGTAACAATTAGTTGAAACAAATTGTTATACTAAGTTTTATTTTTAAAATATGATCGTAGATTTTTAGTAGACATTGCTTATGCGCACATACTTCAAAGTATCATTAGCAAATACTACCTTTTGTTTAGTCTCTTCTCAAAATAAATCATATTGATTCTCAGTATTAATTATACTATTCTCAATAAAAAAAAATATAAAAACTGATTGTTCAACACTCTAATTTTCCTATTGTATAGGGTGTGCGTGTGGGTGTGATTATCTATATTTTCAGTCTACACCTTCAAGAGGTGCAGCTGCTTGCTTTTTTGTTAATATTATTTACAAAACAATTATTTGTCTTAACTTTAGAAAGTAACTAATGGCAAACGAGGAAAAAACATAAATTTCTAAATTAATATTTCATTTGACTTTTTATCAGTTTTAAACTGCTAAGTTTTTGACACTTAAACATTAATAAATAGTCTCGGCGAAAAATCTTCTCGTTCTAACTTACAGTTGACCAAAAGTCTTCGTTACTTTGAAAAATATAGACACATATAATTATTCAATTACCCTTTCCGATTTTGTTCAACAAAGCATTTCACTTATTGAAACTTACTTTAACGTAGTAAATATGACTTTATATTATAGACTGTTCGAATTTTTACAAAGAAAAACTTAGTTATTGTTTATCGGTCAAGTCAATTTATATAGTTGGAAAAAACCCACATTAGGAAATGATGAGGAAAGTTAAATATTATTTTTTCTAATTGAACGAATAAGTGCTGAAAAACTAATACCAGTTAAACCGCGAGTGCAAAATTTTGTTGTTGAGAAATATTTGAAAATGTTTGTTGCATAAAAGAGTTTTTTTGTCATTAAGAATTATAGAATGTCTAGTACTTCTGATTATAAAATGTGATTTACCCTCCAATTCTTGATTCTTTACTCTTGTTTGATTTGATATCATTTGTACCATTACCACGACGACGACGACGACATAATTGACCGAAATGATCTGTACCAAACATTGTACAATTAGAATTTTGACAAGGTACTGTACATCTTTTAGCAAAACATTTTTTTTCTAAATAATATGTGCATTTTGGATTATTAAAAAATTGTTGGCATAATTGATTTAATCTATATAAAATAACAAACATAGTTAAAGATATTCTAAGATGCATTCGTCGATATTTAAAACTTAAATGAATAAAAACTTACCATTTGTTGATCTTCTTTTCGAATTTAAATGATATTTATATATACTATTATTCAGTTTTATATTATAAAATGGGTGTGGGTGTGGGTGGGTGTGGATGAGGTGTAGATATTGTATTCACCTAGCACCCACGTCAACATCCGCGCTCTCACCCACAGTCAGTCAAGCGCAGTCGCACCCACACGCTCACTCGCCCACACCCTCAAGATGGTTTCTTTTTTACTTTGCAAGTGGGTTTTTTCCACTGTATTTGTTTGTGCGCGTCCTTCAAAACTAATGCAGCCCTCACACATGTAGTGTACATTTCTCTCACAAAAAAAACGCAGTTGCCTCTCGCCACCTCACATATATCGCAGACAAGAGCAAGAGTGATTCGAACTTCATTTTCTTTCTTTTTTACTCTGCAAGTGGTTTTTTTTCCACTGTATTTGTTTGTGTGCGTTCTTCAAAACTAACGCAACTCTCGCACAAGTAATGTACATTTGTCGCATATATATAACGCTCTGAATTTCATTTCGTCTTCATTCCAGCAGAACGGTGAGTGCAGTTTAACATTCATTAGTCTTTCTATTTATTGGACGCAGATTTTTCACATGAATCGTTTGTAGAGCTGAGTCTGTACCACAGGCTGCATTCCACCCTCAAGTCATATTTACTTCATCTTGTAACAAAATATTTTGGATAACCCTTGCTTGTAGAATATAAAATATATCGTTACTAATTTGATATTATTTATTCAAATTAAATGACATACATGTACAATAAAGGATAAATTGAGACACGTATATTGATTAAGATAATGAGACGTACATATAAGAACACAATAATACCAATATAATAATTATAAGAGATAAAAATGTAACTTTGATCTAATGTTTCAAGTTACGATGTTTCTCTATTAGCTTGTTCTTTTTATATCGTTGCTTCCGCTCACTCTCTCTAAAAATGTGTGTGTGGGTATGGGCGTGGGCGTGGGTGGAGGTGTGTCGTCTACACTCACGCTCACATCAACACTCACACCCTTTTAAAATTCTACTTGTCTTTACGGGTTAAATCTTGGACGCGTTTTCCTGCAATAATTATTATTCCATAAATAAGCGTTAGTTTCTAATATTCTACATGTATTTACGCGTTAAGGTTTCAACGCCCTTTTCTGCGTTAATTGCGCACTGGTAAATACAAGTAACGCTCGTCGGGCAGACTCACTAGACTCTCGACTGATCGTGCTTGGTGCACTCCCACAAAAACCATGGACACATACTCTCTCAAGCACTTTTACTATACTCCTTTCAATGGTTTCTCAGTTTTCAGCATTTTATCCAGGGGTGGCGCGGGGGAAAAACATTGGGGGGTCTAACGAAATTTTTTGAATTTTTGAGGCGTGTAGCATTATCTTTGGTGAAAAACCTAAGAAGATTTGTCGCTTTTCTTGAGCAAATAATAGAAACTTTCGAAGATTGGGGGGTGTTACACCCTTGACATCCCCCCCCCCCGGTTACGCCACCCCTGATTTTATCAGATCACTCAAAGAACGCATCCATGAAGTTCTCCAGCGTCCTCTAACATGCATACTGTCCCTCACGTTTTTCTTGAGGGTGTGGGTGTGGATCATGAGTGGTTATGTATTTAGGGAGAAGATCATACTCACACCCGCACCCACATCCACCCACACCCACACCCTCAAGATAGATTCAATGACAAAATAGTTTCTTGTTCTAACTTCTAAAATATACCGTATACGTATGAGTTATCATATTTATTACTTTATCTATTCTTCGATAGATATTTATTTTTAAATATGATTTTTCTCATAGAACAGAAGTATTATTTGTCGATCTATTTTAATTCTCTGTATCTTATCATTAGAAAATAAAGTCACATGTGTTTAACCAACAGAGATAAAATATGTATGAAAAGAACTTTATTACATAATAATAGAAGTAGTGTAAATTTAGTTACAAAAATATTTTATATGTAGAGTCATTACATGATGAATAAATTGTATGAATATATTTATATGAAAGAAAATATCTATTGCTTTTTGCTTACTGTTCGATTATCAAAAAAAAAGTATTCTTTGTATTATTTACCCTAAATATACAAATACGCATATTTATCAGTTAACTACACTTTTATGTTTTTTCACGCTTGTATTGTTTTATGTTTATCAGTGAGTTTTCGTTGGTTTGATTAATGAAGCATATCGTTTAATTTTCTTTCGTCGACTGGATTTCACGTACGTTTTACATAAAGTACGCGGTATATTATATTTATTTTTCTCATATGTGATTGTTCGTTAATGTATAAAATACAAAAAAAACATGTGTGATTATTTTAATATTCTAGATTTTTTAAATTTTTTCATCATATACAATTAAAAACATGGAATCAAAAAGAATTACCAAAGTACGAAAAGCAACTGATTTAACTCCCAAAGGTTTCTTATTGAAATAATAAGTTTAATAATTTAATTCTTTTAAATATATTTTTTAGAATTAAATGTACTTCGATCAACTTCTAAATTAAGTGATAAAGGTAATAAATATATATAAATATTGATTTAATATTAATCTTCTTTCGAATTTTCTAATTAGAAATAAAACAATGGCATGAGGTATGTCAATTTAATAAGATTTGAAAAATCTGTAGATTTTATTCTATAGGAATTTATTAAAAAATATCCAAATGGTAAAGTTGATAAAGATTCATTTGTTAAACTTTACAAAGAACTTCATCCACAACATGATGAAGCTGCAAGCAAGTGAGTATTTCGATTTTATTTTTGATAAGAAAATGAAATTTATTTATTTTTTAGAACATTAATTGATTCAATCGATACCGATCATGATGGTTCAATAAATTTCAATGAATTTCTTTTCTTTACTGCTGCTAATGCTCGCAGTTGTAGTTTAGATGAACGACTCAATGTTATGTTTGATTTGTATATTATTTATTTTTTTAAATATTTTATATTTCTATTGAAATATTTATTTAGATGGGACGTTACTGATGATGGACAAATTGATCAAAATGAATTGGCTCATCTTATTTCAGCGATGGTATAAAGTTTTTTTTTTATCATTGATTGATATTTCTAATTATATCTTAAAATAGTATGATCGTGCACGAATAAAAGATCGTCAAGGTGAAAATAATCCTCATGCACGTGCAAAAGCAATTATAACTAAACTTGATGCTAGTGCTGATAGAAAATTAAATAAAGAAGAATTTATCAATGGGTATGTTTTTATTCGATTTTATTCTTTAAAAACATGTTTTTTCTATTTCAACGAATATAGATGCAAAAATGATGAAGTTGTTAAAAAGCTTCTTGTTGCTGATCAATAAACAATATATTAAAACAATTTTATCTATTGTAGTTTTCAGAATTTTATTTAATCAGTTTTTTTTGTTTTGAAATAAAATCATTTTTATTCGCGAGAACACGTTATTTGATTGTTTAAAGAATTTATAAAACATAGAGTATTTTTTCTTCTTCTTTTTATTCAAAACTGATTGTGTCAATATAAAACAATAACGAAGTAACGTTCGTCGAAATAACTTACTTTACTTTCTACTAAAATCTATATATTTATTAGTCTTATTATCATTAACCAGAGTTGAAACCGAACTGAATCTTTGCCAGTTCATCATAGTCGTATTGAAAATTATTTTCTCTATTAAAAAGAGTTTTAATTCAATAGTAGTTTGATTATCTTTATAGAATCACTGTTTATACTCTAATTATCATTGTATTATAGAACAAAGTATTGTGTTTCTATTCCATTTTACTGGATTTCCGTTATTCTGACTTCAAAAACAAATCGGTTGAACTCTGACTGGACAGAAAAAAAGCTGTCTAGTTTTACTTCTGATTGATACATTCAATTTAGTCTTATTCGTAGAGAATTAACAGTCTAGTTATTATAAATACAAATGACATTAAATCTTGTAAAATATTGCTACTTACTGTTGATAGTATATACTATCTCAATAGTCTAGATTTAGATATTCATGAACTATTTTGTATCTGGGACAAACTGGCGAACTTCTCAACTAGTCAATAATTTTGATGATGTAGAAAAATCAATGGGGGTTTTCAAAAATAGGCTACTGTGTTTTCCTGGAGAAAGATAGTTATTTGTAATAATGATAAATTGAAGATTGTATATATTGTGTTAAAACAAGGGAGAGAAACGCTACTACATATTCTTTGAAAATATATTGAAATAACAGTTTCTTCTGTAGACCTCACTCAGAAATTGTGTGAGTCTTATTCTGGATTGTATGCCGATTCATTAAAAAAATTTTAAACAGTCGTAGTAACTGATGCGAAATAGATCGTATAATGTGTCATGAAACATTTACATGCGTCACACCGTTTATTTTAAGTATTTGTTTTGCGTTCTATGCTTTACGCTTACGAATATATCTATTGATACGTGACTGTCCCCCGTTCTATTTTGTCATAATGTAGAACGTATTAAAAAATGACGCTATGATGATTTTTCTAATTCATTCATATTTCGATAATTATCATGAATCATGTTTAAAATAAGTAACAAATATCTACGCCTTTCACAAATTTCTTTTTTTTCTTTGCCAGAAAAAGAAAGATAAGCTTATGACGGAGGTGTATATATATATCGAATAATTACTTGATCCTTATACATTCAGCTCATATTTAAAAGTTTTGATATAAAATTATTTACAAGATTTAACTACATAACTTTAATTATGTTAACAAATAAATGGTTTATTATATTATTACAATTGGTTATACTCGTATTTAATAATAAAATTAATGGTCAAACATTATCAACTGTATCATGCCAAACTGTTTTAAATGATTCTTTTGTCTATTTAACTGCATCACATCCTACTACAGTTCGTTATTTAACTATTCAAGCAACATTTATATTAGAAAATAGATATGTTGCATATTATATTGGATCTCTTACGTACGCTTCATCAATTGATTCTTTAAATGGTACAGTAACTGTATCATTTAGTGGTCGAACATGGATTCCATCATGTGGTAGTGGTAGTGGTTTAATATTTTGTCCATCTCAAAATTTCAATTATAAAAATACTGATATACAAACAATTTCAATTAATAGATCAGGTTCTATTCAATACATATTAAATAGTTGGGGTAATGGAAAATCAACCGATCAATTACAATGTTATGGTGTAAATCAACCACTTTATACAGCACCAACATTACAAACAGCATCTATGTTTATCATGACATTACAAAAACAAGAATACACTATACCAAAATAAGAATTTCAAACAGAAACTATTCATTTTTCTTCATTATTTCATTGAGCAATATACGAAAACTTATTATATCTATATTTTCTTTCATTCTGTATATTTCCATCTTCATTTTCATTTTGTGAGTTATCAAAATAAATTAAGTATACAATTTCAAAAACAATCCACACTCTTCTTTGTGATTATATACTCAAAACTCTCTAATATGAACACTATTAGGTTCGATTGATTGTAAGTATTGCATTATCATCAATCGAAGAACAATTTCCTTCACCCATAAGAACACTATCCGACATAAATTGAGTAAACGATAATAAAAAAGGTGAATCAGATATATCGCATCGTTGAATGTTGATATCAAGTTGAATTAATGGTATCCAAGGAGAATCCAATGTAACATCAATGATTGTTTCTGTTCTTGGAAGATTAAATTGATTCCAAATAGTTAGTTGCGTATCTGATGTTGATGAAATATAAATATTATAAGATAAAACATGTTGAATAACAACGGTATATTTCATCAGACTCTTATCTATAGATTCAATTCTAATCTGTTTTATCGACATTTTACGATTGAATGTATCATCGAATGTACAATCGATTGGATACCGACAGCGTTTATTTTGTAATTTGTAATTATTTTCAGTGAAGAATTGATCGAGCAAAGGTGATAAAGGACGACCATCATAGTTTAGAACTGTAATTGATGCTGATTGTGATGCAAATGGAATAATCATTGGAACATTCTTTAGCTCTTCTACTCGATAGATCGATGTTGATGTATGATTAACATAAAACGCATGTGGATGATTTTTATCAAATGGTTGACGAGCAATAGCAATAATAAAAACAATTAGAAAAGTAATTAAAACAACGATCAATATCCAAATAAAATATCTTATTCGTTGTACTATTGAACTAAGATTCAATGCAATGAATAATGTCGGAATAAAGACAATACCACTGATAACAATATTAACACCGAATAAATGTCTAAAAGAAAAGACTTTGACGGCTAAAGGAATAAGAAGACGTAGTGAATAACTGCTTATTCCAATTGTATGTGTTAATGGTAAAAATGAAATAATCAATGGTAAATATAACCAATAAGATTTCTCTTTTAATAATGTCCAATGTATTTGTTTCCAATGAAAAATAAATTCAATAATCATTACACAAAGATAAATTGGGCAAATAAAGATCGACCAAATAAGAATTAGATAGAATGTTCGCTGATTAGAAAGAATGGAAGTCATCATTAATAAACAATAGAATAATAAAATGGAGAAATTTTGTTCGAAATTAAAATGAACATTTTTCAAACGGTTCTCATTGACTTCTGAGACGTTTTTTGGTGATTTTCGAAGAATAGAATAATGATATCGATTGCATAGATATCCAACGATAAGAAAACTAATGAGATATGGTAAACTATAAAGAAACATTGCTAATGTTGCATTGCCATTCCATGCAAGAGATCGTATGTTTGACATAAGCCATGAGAACATGATTGAAATTAGAAAACCACAAATGATTGAGATAATATTCGAGATAAAATAGATAATAATAGAAATTATACGAATAGTAAATGAATTTTGAAAATAAAAATAAATACAACGATGATCATTACATGACTGAAGTCTATTTTTTCGATGCCATATATGGTCAAAACCAACTAAGATTATACCAACGATAACAGTCGAGATAATTAAAATATGTTGAATTAATATCGATGTTGATTGTTTATATATTACTAAGTATAGACTAAGAATATCAAAATAAATCAATGGATCAGTATCAGTGATATTTTCTGGTATTGAAACAACTTTTCGAAATAGATTTCGAATTAAAATACCAAGGTTTTCTCCTAAATCTTGAATAATACCTTCTTTTACTCTTGTTGAATGATCAAGTGGAGTGTGATATGTATATCCATCCAGGAAAAAACCAATATCGTATCCTAATCGAGTATTATTTAAACGTAATATACTATAATCACTGCCCCATAAAGGTAATTTTGAAATATATTCATTGATAACATTAGCACGTGGTCTTTTCACTCGACTATAATCAATCACAAGCTATGAGATAAAAAGAAACAAAAATTCTTTATACAAAAAAAAACAGCTAATTCAGAAGAAAACCTGAGATTGAGTTATTTTCATTAAACTAGCTACTTCATTACAGCTCATAGAATCAACATTGATAAAATAATGAATATCCGATTGCCAACGATGTTCAGTTATAAATGCTTTAGCACCTTCTAAACCAGACTCTTCAGCATTGGTAAATAATACAATTAAATCCATATTGGAAAAAGATAATGTGATATCATGAACTAAATTTGAGAATAGTTCAAGTAAAATGACAACACCTGAACCATCATCACAAGCTCCAGAACTAAATTCCACTATAAAAACAGGGGAAAAGAATGAATAAATCTTCTTTTATCTTCGAATAGATTTACCTGAATCGTAATGAGCACTTAACATTAAACTAGGTTTATTTTTCAATGTTCGAGTTGTATTTGATACACGAACAAGAATATTTTGTAATAGATTTTGTTTTAAATCAGTAAAATTTTGAAGTTCAATTTGAAATCGAAGATGTCGTTTGTTTGTTGAGGAGATACGATGAATTTGTGAGAGAAGATAATCTCGTGCTTGAAAATTTCCACGTGTATTTCGAACTCTCGATCCATATTGTGTTAAATTATATAAATAATCGAGAGCACGTTGTTCACTAAATATGTCACGAGAAATATTTCGTGTTTTGACTGTAGGTACTGCATAAGATATATAATATGCAAGTGGACCAGCAATGAGTAATAAACAGATAAACATTAGAATCCATAGAATAAATTGTTTGAGATACTTTTTCGAACTGAAGTAGTAATAATTTGATTTTCGATGAACTTTTATATTTGTTGTTAAAACTTCTTCATTATTTTCAGTTTGAATTGTAACAGGTACTAAAGTAATCTCTTCAACGATTTGATTCATCACTATTAACTATTTATTTGGAAGACTATATACTTTATAAGAGTACCAATGTATTCGTATATATATATATATATAACGATAGATAAGGAATGAATAGCTGGGAAGTAAAAATTGTGTATTAATAGTGACGAGTGTGATGGAATGGAAGAAAATTTTTTTCCCACAAGAATATCTATATGGGACAATGTAACATGGATGGGAGTGTGAATGTTTGTACGAATAACAGCCCTGTGAAAAGATTTCAGTATAAAATAACTTTTCATTAAGTTCATCAATTAAGACTGAGTTGAATTTTAAATATAATATAATTTAATAAATATGATTCACTGCAATTTATTACTTTATGTAATTGATAACGAAAATAAACAATAAAGAAGATATAAAGAAAAACGTCGACGCATGGTTTTTTTTCTTTTCTTTTCTTTTCTATTAATCATAAATGATAAAGAAGAACTACTAATAGAACTCTTGGGTTCTGTATGTGAAGATATGATGCCGTGCGTTGTTGTCGAGAATAGTTTTGTTTTTACATTTAGACGTATTTCAGCCATTTATAGCAACAGAGAAAAAATTCAATAATTGTCGTCGAAATTTCATATTGAATCAGATTCTTTTTATAGTTTTCTGTTTGAGTAAAGAGAATAGGAATTATGAGTCGTAATTATCGTTTTACTAACAATTACAAAGGTGTAGGTGTAGGTGTAGGTGTGAATATTAAGCTGATCACCCACACCCTCAACATTCCGTTTAGTTCTCATGTATAATAATAGTTTTTTTAACTCTTGCGTATATATATTTTCAAAGGTTTGATCAAAGAGTGTTCTTCTGTTTCTCCTGCTGTTAGAATAGCCCACAATTATAATGTATTTGTCTATTGTTTCTAACATTAACAATAGTCTACTGTTGACTAACATCAAATTGAATTCATGGATGCATATACAAGTGATGTAAAACAATAATAATAGGCATTGTGGCTGTTTTATATTCTATCTTTTTCATTTTAATTCTTTTATTTATCAAAAAGTCATATTGTTGCAACACAATTGTACTAAAACGATAGATATTTGGATCAACTCTATGAATAATTCAAACTAATCAGTTTCATATTGTTAAAATCTTTTTTCATTAATTCGTGAAAATGTAATGAAACAACTGTAATAATATTGTTTTTTGTGAAATAATCAAAGTCATATGATATTGTTTTCATGGAAACTTGTTCGAGTAATCATTTAAATAATTTTATTTCCTTAGTAATAATATTTTTTGAATAAAGAGAAATGATGTCAATCTGACAAACTTTTCTCACTATATGAAGATCAATCGATAGTGTATTGTCGTGTGAATATGTAACAGAACTTTGACCAAATGTAATTGATTTATCATAACTATGATTTTTTATCATTCTACCTACGTCCAGCAACGAGATTTTCATTGTAATACATGCGTATGTGAGTACGATCGTATTAATCCTTATTCAACATTCGCGTTATCGGACACGAATATGTATATATGTTTGTGATGAACAAGCGAATGATAAATACGGGTCATTGTATCGCATTTTCATTTCAATAGAACACGTAGAAACGGTTGAGTGATTTTGTTTTAAAAAATATTTAACTTTTTTCTCTGTTATTTTATTTCTTTGAGAAAAATCAGTTGAATTTTTATTGTAGAATATTCTATTCAATGTTATGTTAAATGTGAAAGAGTTTTAGAAAAAGTTTTTCAACAATATTTTCTTTATATTTTGGTGGAAAAATTGAAATGACGTAAGTATGTTCTTTGTGACTATGACAATTGTTTAAATAATGAACAAAATATATATTAGAAATATCTTTGATGATTTATATAGGTTTTTAATAAATTGTTTCGCTTTTTTCAATTTGAAAATTTTCATTCAAAATATTTTCACAAAAATATTCGATTTTTTAATTTGAAAATTCATGAAAAAAAACTTAACTAAATAAATAGACTTTCTTATATTAACTAGATTAGTTTTAATCCAGTTTCTCTTTTATTTTAAATAGAATTGAGAATTAATTCATTATATTTATCATATTTTAATCAAAATTTTATACTATCTAAGAATTCAAAATAGAATTTTTTTAACAAATTCGAACTGTATATAAAAACACTTTCTTTTACTTTTTTCTTAGACAGTAGATTACTTGTAATGTGTCATCTGTTCTGTATTCGGTATTTTTGAGTCTTCTATACCATAATATGATGTTTCTTGGTAAAATATTAAAGACAAAGAGATTTATTAAGGTCAGATTAGAAAATTTTTAGTTTCTTTGCCACCACATGACTCGTTTTTCTTTATTCTTGTTTATTTTCTATTTCATATGAATCAGTGGAACGTCTACGAATTTTGTACGCACATCCCCTTCTATTTCTTTGAGCTTATGATCAGCGAGTTTGTACTTGCTTGACTTATTAATTGTTGTCTATTGCATAGTTTTCCTTGTATATTATATAGCTATTCACGATTCAACTCATCGTCAGTCACTTTTCTTTATGGAAATGAATCAGCGCTGTCTTCTCTATTGACTTCTTCTAGCGACATGTTAACTATTAAAAATTTTTGATTGGTTTTACACGAGAGCGTTGAAAAGATACGAATACGAGACAAAAATGTGGATATTTCGTTCTGTGACCTCTCACATACTGTATACTGTACATTAAAGAACGAAAAAGCAACTTGATTCATTATTGAAGTAGACGCGAGATACGATTGACTATCTTATTGAAAGGTTAAGAAAGAAGAGAGAAAAATCAACAGAGCAGAAAAGATAATGTCGAATAAAATATACTATATTTTTATTTACATTGAAGTAAAATAGAAAAAACAACTAGTAGTGTGATATTTTATTTGGTATATTTTTTATATATATTGAAATTATGTAGTAATTATTTAGTTTGAAGTTTCAATTTTTTGAGGGTGTGGGTGTGTGAGAAGGTTCTTCTACTCTTTACTCTCATTCACACTCACACCCAAATTTTCTTGAATGGTTAACATCGCTTAAGTTTTAGATTTCTTGCAGATATCAGAAAATGTTTGTGCCATTCACAAATTTACCTCGTTCGGCTACTGTTCAGCCGACACCATTCAAGGTTTCAATTCCCCAATCGAACCTCGATGAGCTTAAGACTCTTATCCAGCTGTCCAAAGTCGCTCCACTTACCTACGAGGGATCTCAAGAGGATCGAAAATATGGTGTAACAAACAAGTGGATTCGTGAAACAAAGGAAAAATGGGAAAAAGACTTTGACTGGTATGTATCCTACACGAATTATAGTACATATTTATATTCTTGTTATCTTCGTTTAGGCGCAAGCATGAAGCGCACATAAATTCTTTTCCAAACTATATAGCACCCGTTGTTGACGACGATAGCAAAGAGTACAAAATTCATTTTGTTGCTCTCTTTTCCGACAAATCTGATGCTGTGCCGTTAGTCTTGCTGCATGGATGGCCAGGTATTCTTAACTTCTATAATATTGTGTGTCCCAGAATAATAATAGCTCTCATGTTGGCAAATATCTCCTGTATACATTAGAATTGCACGTGAAAAATATGATTGGTATCCTACGACAAAGTGGATCACAATGTCACGGCCTCGAAATTACGAGTAACATCTGTTGTGAAATATATTTGAACGAAGTAATTTTCGATACCGAGTTCCATGATAATGATGTCACACTTGAAATTTCAAAGCGATATGAACTAACTACATTAATGTTCTCCAAAATCTTTGCTCGTACAAAAACAAGGGCTTGGCATTGTGTCTCCCTCGAGCGTGAAGCGTAACATTGTTGTGACTGAACTCGGTGTCCCACATTATCTCATCCGAATGCATTTCACAATAGTTGGAAAGTCATTTGATAAATTTTGAAAAATTTAAATTCGAGACTAGCCATTTCATACAACAACGTCTTACCTTGTGCTATCATTCTTGTTGCTTGTCCATTCAATAGTACCGAACTAGTAAATAGCAAGTATTCCGTCTAAAAACATCGCTAAAAAATGTATGATAACGACTTTTCCTTTGAACCAAACCAGAACATAACCTATATGTGACATATAAATATGAAACGAAGCTAGAACAGTGTAATGAACTGATTATTTGAAAAAATCTAGAGTGTGACATTTCGTAGCAGATATCTTAAACTTCTTGTTACCTGTTTTATTTCTATTTGATAATCATATTAGATATAAGGTGAACATTCTCGTCTATCTTTAGACTCCATAAAGTAATCTTCTTCTTTTGTGATATCTTTAGGTAGTTTCATCGAGTTCTTGCCTATGCTCACTCTTTTGAGTGATGGTCACACACCGTCTACCTTACCATATCACCTCATCGTGCCTTCACTTCCCGGCTATGCATTTTCATCAAGTCCACCTCTCGACAAGGACTTTCGTATTGAAGACATTGCACGTATCATTAATCGACTTGTCATCGGCTTGGGCTTCGAGCAAGGTTACGTCGTTCAAGGCGGCGATATCGGCAGCAAGGTTGCTAGAGTCATGGCTGCTGAACATGCTAGTTGTAAAGGTAAGTAATTATTTAGATTCATTTCTACACTCATTGTTCATTTGTCTCATTTTTCTATTGTAGCCATTCATAGTGAGTGATTTTTTTTCCATCAAACATTTAAGATTCTCACCTTTTTTATTCTAGTCAACTTTTGTATCATGCCAGAACCATCTGGCGTCGACAACACAACACTGAACGAACTTGACCGCGAAGGTCTTATAAGAGCAGCCGAGTTTATGAGCACTGGCAGTGCATACGCTCTTGAGCACGCCACTCGAACAAGTACGATTGGACATGTGCTTGCTAGTAATCCTATTGCTTTGTTGGCTTGGTAAGTAAGAGAATATTTGAATACATTAGAGTATATGGTTGATACTTGTCTAACGTTAGCACTAATCGTTTCAAGATCTAATAATCATGTTTCGTTTTTGTAGAATTTCGAATACTAATCTTTTAGAAGAAGCTGCAAAGTGGCGACTGATTAAAATTCAAAGTTTTACAGACTTGCCCATCTGCATAGTGATTCCAACGAAGTCAAAGCTATAGCATACTATTATCATCCATACTCATTGCTAAACACTAATAATTCTATGAAAACCATCTTGAGGGTGTGGGTTATTTTAAAAAAGAAGACACTCTCACCCAAGATGTTTTAATGAAAAAAGTATTGAGTAGAGGGCTTTAAAGAAATAATGTATTTTAAGGTCCCTAAATCTGTTCTATTACATTTGTTATTAATTCGAAAACGTAGCAGGAAGATCTGGAATAGCTTCGCAGATTGAAGCACTTGCTTCAGAAACCTATTCCGTTGGATTTCTTTTGAATTTCTTTGAAAGCAATAAAAATATAGCTATATGAACTTTTCAACTGTTTGGCAATATGATCATTAGCGAAAAACCACAGACAGTTGAATAATTTATAAATTAGTGGAAAATAGCGTTCAATTTTTTTCAAAACTAAAATGTCTAAGAAATTCAAAAATAAGTACAAGATCGATATTGTGAAAGATTTCTTTCGCTATATTTTTCACTTAACCCAGATTATTTCATACTTGTAGGATTGGGGAGAAATTCTTGGAATGGACTGATGAAAAGCCGCCGCTGGATACGATTCTTGAGTCAGTCACACTCTACTGGATCACCGAGACATTGCCTCGTGCGCTGTACCCTTATCGCCAGGTAAGTGTTTCAGTGCAATTCTCGTTGTTCTGCCTTGTTATTTTTTCCTTTCTAGCTCTTCACACCTGGCAATATTGGAGCACATGAAAACCCAAAGTGGTACATTAAGAAACCATTCGGATTCTCGTGGTTTCCTAAGGAGATTGCGCCCATTCCTCAGAGCTGGGCTGCGACCACAGGAAATCTTGTATTTTTCCGCCAGCATACAAAGGTAAGCTTTGGATTTCTCTTCAACCAATAACTAACTTGTCTTTGCTTTGTCATCTTATAGGGCGGCCATTTTGCTGCGTTAGAACGACCTGATGTACTTGCCAAAGATATCAAGGATTTCATTGAACAAGTTTGGTCACAGGCAAAAAAAGCATAACCATTTGGAGAAGAAAACTCATTTACTTATATAACTTTTTATTGTTCACACACCAAATCAAACTAATTTTAACGACTAAAGACATCTCTTCATGCTTGTATCGGCAACAATATTTTCTCCCAATTGGCTATTTTCATTTCTTTTTCTTTCCCATTGTATTTTCCTATCATCGTATCTATGTTTTGCTCTGTCACTTTCTTTTCTACTTCAATACATGTTTCATTTAATCATTTGTTTTCTATCGTATATATTCGTTGTGATGAAGTATCTATCCACTTAGTTTCTCGTTTTTTTGTATTTAAGAATATAAGTAGAGTGTCGTTTTTAGAAGATTTGCAGAGTGATTGAACTTGTTATGCGTTGTCTTCGTTAGAAAAATTAAAATTAAAACAAAAGGACTTCTATACGCACTGCATCCAGCATGATCTTGTAAACATATAGGAAGAAGTTCGTCAGAGCATTTTTGTAGATGAGATTAACTCTTATTAATCCATTTTTGGGAGCTATCTATCTCCCTCCAATATCATAATATAATACTGAATAGTTTACTTCAGTTACCTGAATGCAGTCTTAACATATTCTCTGGATGTTGCATGTTCTTCAATAGTCTGCCTTGCGATCTTTTTTATTGATGAGGATTTAAGAATTTATTTCTAGGAAACTTTACACTGTAATACAAATATATAAACAGTAGCATGAACATACTTTTACTGAGTGCTTACCAATGTTATTTTCTAGACCTCGAGACATTGTATTTTGATCGATAAAAGCTAACAAAAGAAAATCAACTGCATCTGGTAATTCGTCGGATAAAATTTGTATCTTGTATTTCTTTGACCAACCAAAGACGAAGCAGATTGTGTTTGAAACTTAGTTAAAATCACAGTATGGTTTTTATGTAGAAATATTGTTACTAATGAACTGAATTTATTTTTTATCTTGAGAATTAGTGGCGTAACCAGAAATTTAAGGGTGATGGGGCTCAGCCCCAAAACCAGAAATGGACAACTCAGTTCGAAAAATGACGAACTCAATTTAACTCAATTCCATTCATTAACCTAGTTGAATTGAATTGAACTGAGTTGAATTCTGGAAAATTTTTAGTGAACGTGAATTGAGTTGAATTCAATTCAAAAGGTTTTTTCACGAATTGAATTGAATTAATTCACTTTTTTCTGCTGAGTTGCCCAGCTCTGCCCAAAACTGTCTAGTCTTTTCGATTTTTTGATTGTCAAGTTTAGTAACTAAAAAAGCTTATCAGCGAGCCCCGTTGGGGCTAAAAATGTGGAACTCACGTATGTTCGCATCAAAATATCTGATCATGTTTAAGCGCTTTGTCTTCTTTTTTTGCTCAAATTTTGTTAATTTATAGCTATTTTTGACAATTTTTGGTTATTTATATTAAATTCGCGGCAGTATATAGCTATTTTTAGCGATTTGTCATTATTTTCATAAAAATTCCCGCAATTTATAGCCATTTTCGTTATTTTTTTTAATTGAATTTGTAGTAATTTATGGCTATTTTAAACTATTTTTGCTTATTTTTGTTAAAATTCTACTAATTTATAGCTGTATTTAACCATTTTGCTTATATTTTATAAAAAATCCCGCAACTTTGTAGCTATTTTTAACGCTTTTTCAGTATTTTTATTAACATTTTAGCAATTTATAGCTATTTTTAATGATTTTTGCGTATTTTTATTGAATTTGGGGGGGGGGAAGGGAGCTGGTAAACTGGAACTTAAAACTTACACTCATGATTTTCTTCGAAAATTTACGTGAGTTCCACAAAATCTGGGTGATGGGGCTTAAACAGTCGGTGATGGGGCTAAGCCCCATCTGGCCCCCCCCTGGTTACGCCACTATTGAGAATGTGGGTGTGCCTGTCTTTTCACTAATAAAGTGAATAATAATCTATATTTTATTTTATTTCATATAGTAGTTATCAACAAATGAAGTTGCTACAAAAAACTTTTTTTTCACAATATCGATATCTTCACTTCATAAAAAACAAATTGATTGTAGTTTTATTCTTGTATCTCTATTAGTACCAAGTCTTTAATTAGTATATTTTTATCTCTTTTATTAACAAGAATATAGTTTTTTTTAATTAGAATAATAATTATCACATAAAACTCTCGTTTTTTTATCTTTCATCTATATTTTTCTTTTGATAAGAGATTTAAAAAAAAAGTATATCTTTATGAAATCATTGAGTCGCATAGTTTTTTTGACTTCTCATACTTTTATCCAGTAGAATAAATTTCATAATAAAATGTGAATCTATCTTTTTTGCAATAAATTATATGGAAAAGAATGTCATATCTAATTTTTACAGATTAATACTCAGCACTTATTCATACAGTACAAAGAATGTCGTCATGGATATATATAACCCAAATTTTTGTTATATATGTAGGTACTTTTTTATTTATTTTTAATTTTTTTGGTGATTTTATGACGATAGTAATTATGTCAACGAAACGTTCATATCGTACAAAACCAAGTACATTCTTTATGTTGCTATCAGCAATAGCAGGATGTATTCATTTAATCAATGGTACATTAGCACGTATTCTCACAATAGGTTTCAATATTGATTTAACACGTACATCGATTGGATTATGTAAATTACGACAATTTATTTATATAATTGTTCCTGGTTTTGGCATAACCTGTTATTGGTTATCAACTATAAATCAATTTTTAGTTACATCGCGTAGTGCTCGTCTTCGTCAGTTAAGTAATATGAAATTAGTTTATCGTACAATTATTATCATTATCATTTTTTGGATCGTTCACGGTACACCAACACTCATATTCGCCAATATAGAGTTAGTGAATTTATTCAATTAGGAGATATTCAAGATCGTATATGTTTAAATTTTATTTTTTATTTTTAGATCTGGTACATGTATCATTGATAATTCTATTTTATCAATGTATTATGTTTATGTTCATTTTTGGTCTTTTTGTACTATAATTCCTATTGGTATTTTAATCATATTTGGTATACTTGCTTATCGAAATATGCGTCTATTAACAAATGTTCGTCAGTTACATGGTATAGATCGACAATTGACTTTGATGGTTTGTGGTCAGGTATTGTTGATTCTTATTGGAGTTGCTCCATATGCACTCTTTAACATTTATTCAACAAGTACTGCTCAATGGAATAAAGATATTGAACAAAAAAATAAAGAAACTTTTATTTTAAATGTGGTTAGTCTTAATAGTACGATTGAATTTGGAGTAAGTTATATTCAATTTCTTTTTCTAATTAATATTTTTAACTATTTAAGGCAAGTTTTTATTTATTTATTATTATATCAAGTTCTTTTCGTCAACAAGTTAAACAATATCTTTATAGTTGTTGGATAAAACCAAATATTGTACAACCCACCGATATGAATATCAGAACATTAGATTAATCAATTATTTACTAAAATTATAAATTTATGTTGTGTTGTTACTATTTTCCTATATATCATTGTATTGAATATTCTTATTTGCTTTTATATTAGATTAATCCGTAAAACTATTTTTCCTTCTAGTGCAAATTATTTAAATTATATTGTATAGATGAAAGAAAGATTTTTTAACTATAATAAATAATTTATTTATAAATTAATAATATATGTGAGAGTTCGCTAAGTTTAGAAATACTCATATAAACCTTCACAATAGATAGATATTTTGTATACCGTTTGTTTTTCTTTCTATTTCTATAATATTTTTATTGTAATACATAATTAACTTATTCGTTCAGTTAACCTCTATTATTATCTTATCATTAAAATATGAAACAAATAACAGAGCTGAATATTATAAATGTGTAAGTAGATATTTCTGGAAACTCTATCTATCAATTAAATGAATATATAGAAGTTGAACCAAAGAAATTGTATTTTCTAATAATATTATTTTTATTTAAATAAATATTGAGTACTATAGATACAAGAAAAACTCAAAAGTCGATAATATGTATGAGTCAAAACTAAATAGTATTGAAAAATGTCCAAATTAAAATTAATTTTTTCATTATCAGAAAAACTTCAAGATTTCTACAAGAAAGAATGACAAAGTTTCTATGAATAACGTCATTTTCAGTATATAATATGAGTGATGACATTTATTACTAAACTCTATGTTAATTTTCATTGAAATAAACACTTAATAAATCTTCTATCATCGCTTATTATAGATATAATGTAACACTTATTATTACAAGTAAATCTAAAAAATAGTAAAACATCCAATAACAAATAGTTATTATTATATTTCAGGGAAATACTCAATTGTGAATTGTTTAAATGCAATACAAACTAGAAACTGAAAAGATGGTTACAATGAATGCCGACTACATATCTACTACTCCTAAAGTATTGCCACTAACTGAAAATTATGAAATACAACAAAATCGTAAACTACCAGGTGAAAAAATCAGATATCAGAATATACAAGAATTTTCGTAGGATCATAGCATCGAATCCTATATCATCTTGTTGTCTGCTTTTTTTATAAGATTTCGTAGAATTCAGTTTATAAGAATGCATCAAAAATCATACAAGATTCTAAAAACAAGAATTGTATAAGAGCTGTCTGAATAATTCTTGTCAAATATAATTTGTTCATACAAGATTTACCAACAAAGAAACATAAAGTAATACTTAATGAAAATTTTGTCTGTTCTTTTCTGATTTTACATGAGTGCATATAGATGAAGAAAAAACTGTTTTAGTTCCTATATATGTATTACTTATATAGATGAAGACTAAAAAGTTTTTGTTATCGTTTGTTGATTTTAGCTCTTTCTTTCCTTTCTATACATAGTATTAGTATATATATATATGTAATATATATGTTTTTTTCGTTCTCTTGTATTCACTAGGATTCTTTTCTCTTGGAATAATCCCTGTTCTTGTTGAATAATATTTCCATTTGGAATATTCCTTCTCCTAAGGATATTCCATGATATATACAGACGTGTTTGAAGTAGTTTATTCGACAATAAAGTATTATTCAATACTTCACTTCAAGACGTAACATGAAGGATATCCGCGAATTAACAAACGTTGATAAGGTAAAATAAAATGATATACGAATATATTTATATATCAAATTTGAGTTTATTACTTTTAGAAACTTCGAAAAATTTTAAGTAAAATTTTAGCAAAACAACATGTAACAATACCAGAACGTTTTCGCGAAGTAAAATATAGTGCTTTACGAAAAGAAAAAAAAAATTTCAATCGTTCAAACGCAATTCAATCTCACCAACAAGATGCATCGACTCCATTACTTGCTAATTACCCCACTCCAGCACCGACATATTATCAACAACACGAACAAACTGTTATACCAAGTCAACAAGAAACTGTAATGAGAGCAGTAACAGAACGTGACGAAGAAATACATAATGTTGAGGTACATGATTAAAATATTTCATAATATTAAAAAGGGTGTGGATGTGGGTGTAGGTGAGTGTGTCTTCTTCAAACAAACCCACACCCACCTTCAGGTACTATCCGATGGATTTTATTTGGTATTTGTTGAAAGCAGTAATAACGAGTCATCTCACTTACAATTCTTGTTGAGATTTTATCTGATACATTTTTATGCGAAGAATTACAAATATACTTCTTATTTTTCTATTTAGACAGATGTGGTTAAAGTCAATGAATCGTTCAAGACCACGGCACAAATTACTAGTGAACAAGGTGTTAAACTTCGTAAGTTTGTCGAAATAATATAAAAGAAATACAGAATTGATGAAATCAAATTATATTTTTTTAGAGATCATTGAAGATCGTATGCAAGGAGCTGAGAGGAAAATGCGTCAGACCGCTGTTAATATTAGAAGGGCCCGCGAATATCAGGTATTCTATTTCTCATATATTTACTGCTTCTAAATGCTAACTTTATTTATAATTTGAAGAGGAATTTTACTAATTAAAAAGTTGATTTCATTATGCATTACTAACTGAGTAACGATAAATATATGAAATAATTGTAACATCGCTGCATTTTTCTAAACTCTATTGATTAACATTTAACAAAACCTATAATTTATCATATTACCTTAAAATTTTCATTTACATGTCAGGCATATATATATATTTATTTATTTATTTATTTTTCTATTTAAAGAGTTCGGCTCGGCGTCAAATAATTATGTTAGGTGCAATTTTTCTCGTTATTTTTGCAATTATGATATTTGTTTTGGTTTTATTATTGCTAACGTGATGTATCTATGTCAGATAAGTTTGGAATAGTTCTTTTCACTTTTTATAATAAAAAGATATCTTCAAGATTTGAATAAGAAACATTGTGTGAGGGTGTGAATGTGGGTATGGGTAAATAAAATATGAAAAAGAGAAACAATGTTTTAGTAACGACAATATGTATGGAAAACTAATTCACTATTAGTTATTAGAACAATAAACGTAATTCAGAAAGCAATTTCAAATAATGTAGCGGGAATATTAAAAACAAGAGCCAATTTACTCCTTGTTCTCGCACTACTTGCGTTATTTTTTGTTTTGTACTCTCGACAGAGAAGACTAAACGTCAATGGAATCACGCCAATAAGTATTCCACTAAAGCATATATTGATTATCGACCATGGTAATCAATCATAAATTCGAGGACTTGTTCGATTGATCTCGTTATTCGAATAATAACGACAGAGATTTCATTTAAATAGTCTATTATTATTATATGATTGCTTTATGCATGCATTGTCAATAAAACGAGTAAGAAAGGCGATGTTGTTATCAAGTATTCAAAATTATATCATATATTCAATTCAAAGCAGAGGAAATAACATTGAACATAAATTTTCTCTGAAGAAAAAAATATATGACTTCCTCTATTTTCCAGTAACGTCTTGTTTACACGCTTTTTCTTAGTATTTTTTAATATTATTTTGCGCTTCATGTGATACATAATAATGATAACTATACTCAACAATGAGAAATAAGGTTTAAACATCTGTAAAGAAGAAAAAAAAGAATGGCATAATTAAATATTTTCATTCAACAACATGATAGTTAACAGAATGTTGGTAAGATTGATAATTATTCTATTTGCTTGTTTTACAACATCGTCAACGATAAATATGATTGTATATCAACTTGCTGAATTTATTCCAGTGAATGATAATTCTCGAGTATTGACGATATTTCCAGTATTCACACAAGATGCATGTGCCTGTCAATGTTATGCTAATCGTTGGTGTATTACAGCGAATTTTAATCAAAAGAATCAAAATTGTACTCTGTACTATGCACAACTCGAGGAAGGAAATGTTAAAATAATACTTGATAATTCCAGCAATGTGCTTCGTTTTTCAAACAGAACTAGTGATTTAAGTAAGACAATGAACTATTTTTTTATTGAATCGAACGTTGAATGATAATCTATTTAATTTTATTAGTATTTACTGGCAATGTGTTAATTAACGGTGACGCAGAAAGTGGTCCATGTGCACCATATGGTAATGTTTCAAGTCCCATTAGTTGGAGTTATAATGGACCAATAACACAAATATATTATACCAATGTGGATTTTGGTGGGCAAACACCTACATCACCGGGTCCAAGGTAAAGTAAACTAATCGAAAATAACTTATTCATATTTCTCTTTTAATACAGTGATCGTGGCCAGTGTCATTTCTATGGGCAAATATCTTCAGTGACTCAAATGTGGCAAACAGGAAACATTACACATTTTGTTGATCCTATTCTTATTGATAATCAGATAATCTGGTTCGATTTTTCAGCTTGGATCGGCGGCTATTGGGATCAAAAAGATTATGCTCAAGTGTCATTGATGTTCTTCGATCGAACTAATCAAACAGTAGGTAATACCACTATTCTTGGACCGGTACTCGACACAGATCGAAATTATATAACTTCATTGCTCTTTCGACAAGCAAATGGACTTGTACCAGTTGGTACTCGTTTTTTCAAAGTTCTTGTTACAATGACTCGCATAGCTGGAGGCAATAATAATGGTGATGTTGACAATATTGTTCTTATTTTTCATGAATGAGTGTTCGTTCTTTTGAGTGTGTGAGTATTGTGTTCTTCTATTAGCCTCATTCACACCCTCAACATGTCGATATATCGTGCTTTTTTTTCTTAACTACAAATATTTACTGTAAATTAATTTATTAAAATACAAATATAAAAACTTTATTAAATACACGCTTGAATAAAAAAATTCAATTTTTCAAAACTTTTATTATTTGGAATTGTTTTGTTGATCTAAAATTTTTTTCATCACATTTTGAACATCTTGATAGACCTAAAATAAAATATTAATTCAGTAAAAACGCTTCTTTTTTGCTTATTAATAAAACCTTTTCAACATCATGTGTTGCATCAACTCGTTTAATTAAATTCTTTTTTTCATAATATTCAATTGTTGGTTCAGTAGATTCTTTGAATGTAGCAATTCTAGACAATATAATTCAATGAATAGTTGCGTTTATTTATAAAACAAAAGTTTACCGTTTTTTTAATGTTTCTTCATTATCATCAGCTCGTCCACTATCTTGACCACGTTTCATACATCGATCAATACTAACCTTAAAATACTAAATTGTACAATAACAATTATGCTTAAATTCATTATACCTTTTCATCACAATCAAAAACAAGTACACATTGAAGAATAACTTTATCACTCATGGATTTTTTCCATTCATCAATATTCTCCATATCTCTTGGAAAACCATCAATTAAATAATTTTCTTTGCCATTCTTTCTCATTGCCTTGATGAACAAAACATATGAGAATTAAATATGAATGTGAAATATAAAAATCTCTACATACATTTTCAATTAATTTACAAATTATTTCAGAAGATACAAGAGAACCATTTTGCATTGTTTCTTGAATTTGTCTACCTAAATCTGAATGAGAATTATCCGTTTCTTCTCGAAGAAGATCACCAACAGATAAATGATCATAATTATAGCTCTATAATATAAAATCTTTTCTTTTATTTTACAAATATTTTCAATTCTAACCTTCGAAATTCGATCACATTGTGTACCTTTACCTGATGCAAAAGATAAGTAAATACAAAAAACCTATATTAAAATACACATACCAGCTCCTGGCGCACCAATAACAAATATCACATTTGGTTTTTCTGTTGTCATCACAAGTAACTTTGTATATATATGTATCTAAATATCTATACTGAATAAAATGATTATATAGGCAGTTAATATAGAAAATTCTACGCAATATTAACGATAACGCCCTTTTTTCTCTCTTTGATTATGATTATCAAAAAGAGTATTAAGTAAAAATACGATTATGATCAAATGAAAAGACAACCCAATAGAAAATGACAACGATTTCATACAGTAACATACTATTACTATACATAAGCGACCTCTAATGAATATGACAGACGTCTATTTTAAACGGAAAGAGAGAGAGAGTTTGCGTTAGAACAGAACGATTATTTCATCGCTGTCCAAATGAGGGCGTGAGTGTGGGTT